TGTGACTGTCACATGTGAATAGGGTGATTTCTGTCTGCCACCTAAGGCGAAATTCCTTAGGTGGCATTGTCTGCCAACTTTTGGTTTTGTGATAAGGTAATACCTCCACCTAAGATTAATTTTTCCCAAAATACTTATCAAATTCTTATCCTCATTCCCCTCATGCTCGCCACATAACAAAGATACAAATACAGTTCTCAGTAGCAGAGCAGCAGTGTTTTCTCTCTAACAATCACCTGCACATGAACAACAACCTGCGTTCTGTATTTATAATATGAACTGTGTCCTGCTCAGTCACAGAATGTGTTTATATGATTAAGGCCTTTCATTATTTGTATCTGTATTTATTGATATTCTGACTGTGAATTCATTATTTAATAACCCAGAATATGATCACGATGTCTTTGAGCACTGGAAATGATTTATTAGGCCAAATGTTTCAGGGAAAATTAAAATTCTGTAACTCATCAACCTAACGCTCAGGAATGATCATGGACTCAAGGAATCAAGGAATGTTCTTGCTGACAGACACTCTGCCTTTGATTGTATCCATAGTAAAAGTTGATGAGGGAAATAGTAGATCGTGAAGAGAAAAATCTTTCTAATAAATGAAGAAAGTCGTTTGTGTTCCTTTTCTTCAGATTTTTAACTTGATGGTGAATCAGAAAACAAATAAAATAAAACTTGGGAGTGATACACTTGAGATTCACCTCTTATCTGTCTTCCCCCTTTCTGTATGAAACTCCTGTGATGTTAAGATATGTCAGATCAGTCCAATCAGCTGTACAATCAATAACTAATATCCCATCAGGGGGTTGTGTAAGTCGGTAAAAGACTTCCACGAAGACTGCACTCGTGTATCCTCGCCTCCCAATATCCCTCCTCGACTCCTCTATCCTCTAGGATAAAGTTTGAAGTCAGCTATCCAATTAAATTTGACAGATTTTACACCTCTTTACAAACTACCATTTATACTCAAAGCTTATGAATATGTTAAGTATGGCCAACACAAAATATTCATATAAAATATATAAAATATGAATATTCTTGGACAAAAATCATTACAAGCAGAAGCCCACTCATTCAAAATAAACGCTCTTTCATTTACTAAATGGGCCTCATTTCCGAACCATTCTTCAGAAATGTATTCTTATAACCCTCTCATGCAGTTTTCAAAGATTCTGGCATTCACTAACATTTATTATTTAGGACTTCTTGGCAGGTAAGAACAGAATCTACGCACAATCAAGAGCACACTCACGCATAGTTTGTGCAAAATAATTGGTTATTGTGGTTTCTTAAATTCTACATTTGTATATTATAGGATTCATATTACGATATTTGTATGATTTATACATATTTTAATAATTGTTTTTATTATTTTAAAACACTTTTATTTTAAAAAATCATCTTTTAAAATAAACACTACACTAATACTTCAATTCACATCAGATATGTTAGGGGGAAGACCATGCCATCTAATAATTAGTGATTGATCATGCTAGAAAATGTCACAGGCGATTTGGACAAAAAGTGACGTAGCAGCATTCCAGGTAAGTGATTAATAACACTGATTTTAATTGTCCACTTTCACCTTGTCAATTCAACTGTCGCATGAATTCATAAAATATGATTCCAGTGAAATGCAGTTATTTCTTCCATCAAATCTATATTCAACACAGTGTAGTAATAATAAATGAATGTCTATGGGAGTTAGGTTTAGGGTTAGGCAGGGTCTTCATTTGGGACCCTTGTGTCCCGAGGGTAGAAGCTCTTCCTGATCCTCGCAGTGCTGGCCTGGTGTAACTTGTATCCTTTTCCCAACCTCAACAGGGAGAAAAAGCAGGGTGGTTGGGATCTTAAATGATTCTCCTGGCCTTATTTTTGCAGCACTTGGTGGGCCCAGTTGTTACATTTTTTTTAATCTGGATTAGAATAATACAGATTTGTAAATCCTATGTTTTGCTCTCCAGGATCAGCTAATCCATCTTACTTTTCAAGATAACCAAATCCAGATAAACAGTACTCCAGATGGGACTGCATATCCAAAACATTCTCATCCCAAGTCATTACATATTGCCTCTTCTACATATTACACTCTAGGTATCGTTCTGCATATTGACATTCCAGGATGCTGCTACCAGTGCCAGGACATTGACAAAAGTACACGGTTAGGTTTAGAAAAAACAACATGGTTAGGCTATACATTTGTACGAGAAGCAAACACCAGCTCCATCTCCCAAACCCATCCATCAATCCTCCTGCCTGCCCCAAAAGGGATTTTCCAGCTCCTTATATTCCGTTATTACCAGCAACGTTTTAACCTGACGTCGTCCTGCAGCATATCGTACCGCCATGACAGGTGCTGTCCGGCCACAATATGAACAGATTTTTTATTTATTTATTTGCAATGAAAGGCATAATAGGTATCCTAATGTCTACTTTTCGATTTTATCACAATTACTTAAAGAAATTACGTACAAAATAAAAATAAATGTATATATGTTTGACCAATTTAAAAGTTTTATCACATTTTGTTCCTGAAATCTACCCTGAATCCAGTCCTCTGCTGGAATCAGGATGATCTAGATTTTTTGGATCCAAGGTATCCTAATCCTACTAAAAAGTTTGAACAATACATACACAAAGTTTGGTCCAGATGAAAACCAAGACTGGATTATGTGATCTATTCCAATTACAAAATCCCTTTTTTTTCTGTTTAACAACCCATGTTCAGGATTTGATCCTATCTGATAACCAAAATCCAATCAGATTACTTTTAAACAACTAGGCCCAGATGACCTGGCTTACTTAAATGGCACTGATGTCAACTTTGTCAGTGATTAAGGCAGTGCAATTAATCGTCTGGTGATCGCAAATTACGATTTTGAGGTCGAACAATTTCAAAATTAATGAAATCGAGGGTAAACGATTTTTGGTCACGGACTGGAGATCTTTTGTCTACTTCGGAAACTGCGCACATGGTGGCGCGCGTGTGCGCGTGCGTGTGTGCACGTGCGTGTGTGCACGTGCGCCCGAACTCTGCCTTGCGTGATACAGAGAGCAGAGGAGAATTGTAAAGACACGACCATGTAGAGACAGAAATGACATGACGTCGTGTAAACAGTATAAGTCATCATGTGCACCGCATAATCGTTTGCATTATCGTGATTTCAATTTTGAACAAAATAATCATGATTATGATTTTGTCCATAATCGAGCAGCCCTATCAGTGATTAAGAAAGTGAGAAAGACAAGATGGTGTAGAAGTTTGCATTCCCAACGTGGCGGGCAATCTGGTTGACTGGGATCATGTCTGCCTGCCAAAAGGCCCTTGATGAAAACTGCAAGAAGGCAGTGGAGCCCAGGTTCACCCACATACGTAATAATCAGGACACTTCTCAAATGAAACCTGTCCCCTGCTGCAGAGGAAAGAAATTTGTATGTCACAGTGCATAAACAGCTCAGGAATGGCCTGAGGAATGCGACAAAGAGCTCAAGACATCGACTTGGCCTCTAAATACCCCAGATTCCAATCTGATCCAGCATCTGTGGGACGTGCAGGCACCCCAGAGGTACCCCTGATCAACAGTGGGGCCTACATGGATCGGACCTGGATTGGACTTGGCTCTGATTTGTCAAGGCATGGACACAGGACTTCTGGGGGTGTCCTGTGGTGTCTAGCACCAGGGCATTGGCGGTGGATCCTTTAGTCTTATGGGTCTGAGGTGGCGTACTGGCACGTCCCACAAATGCTTGATCAGATTGGGATTTGGGGAAGGTACAGGCCAGGTCAACGCCATGGCCTCTTTAGGCCCGTTTCCACCGCAGGAACTAAGAGGTAAATTTACGGGGCCAGGGCCGTTGGTGTGTGTCTCCACCGCAGAAACCACCCCTGAAGGACAGAGTTCCGGAACTTTTACAGGGGCTAAACAAGTCCCTGCCTCGGAGTAGGTACTGCGGCCCCGAGAGAGTCCTGGCTGGGGCTTGGGGATTACTTGGTGCTGATTAGATATACTCAAGGAGGGATGTGACGTCAACAGAAAGCAACAAAATAGCAGGCATTTTTAAAACTCAGCAACCGAGGGTTAGCTTGTTCATAGCTTCCACCGCCATGTAAACAAACTCAATAAACGGTCCGTGAAAAACATATTTTTTCCGGCAGATATCTTAGTTACAACATGATTGAGCTAGCAAAGCAGTTTTGTGTTGCTATGTGTGGTATTTATTCAGTTTTGGGAAATCACGATGTCTGGAAATCATCAGTGGCTGCAGCTGGCAGGGACAGCTAACAGCAGCAGCAAAGCTAACATCAGGACGTCATCTGTTAAAAGCCTCCCGTTGTCAGAAACGACATGAAACTACTCCAGTTAGCTCAATCATGTTGCAAGTAAGACACCCGCAGGAAAAAATATTTTTTTCACGGGCCACTTTGTGAGTTTAGTGAGTTATTACAGACACCGCTATCGGCTAACAGTGTCCCTACGCCACTACGTCGCCCCAGTCAAAATGGTCGCGCAATGATTACATCACATCCAGAGCCCGGTAACTTTACAGGAACCTTCCTCCTACTCCGCTCTCTCAGTGGAGACACGGCGGTTGAGAGGGCCAAGCGAGAGGACATTCCTGCTGTAGTTCCTGCCCCGCAAATAGTACCAAGAACTTCTTCAGTGGAAACGGGCCTTTTGTCATGTTCTTCTGCCCATTCCTCAGCATCCACATGAATGCCAGAACCAAAGGTTTCCCAGCAGAGCATTGTAACATGATGATCAATATTATTTACTTCACCTGTGAGTGGTTTTATTGTTGTGGCTGATTGGTATATATACCTTGTTTGTGAATTATTGTCAGTTGTGTTATTTAGATTTTTTTTTTAACCTACCCAGGCTCCTTTATCTTTTGGAAAAAAATTAAATGAGCTATCTAGAAAGGTGCAACTTAGCCTTTTCCTGAGTTTTTACAGTTCCGTGACTTAATCAGACCACTGAATGAAAACGTGGTAATGTTCTCATTTAGATTTTATTGCTCATTCACACACACCCATGCAAACCTTCCAACATCCATATGTGTATGCAGATAATCTTCCATGAGCAGTATAAGATGACATTTTAAATATGTAACAAAGGAGGTTCCAGTCAGCTCTACGGAAACAAAATGAAGACTGGAAAGATAAAGCTGTTTTCAAGTAGTTGCCCAATTAAGTATTTCAAGAGTGAGCCTCTAATGTCAGATACACACTGAAATCTTAGTTCCCTTTCCTGTCTTTCAAAAACATTTCCAATATGAGGCTAATTAAATGTCAAATGAGGTCAAAACAGCAGAGCCCAACTAATCCACTAAGCATTTAAAGCACAGCTGTTGGCTTGAATACTTGAGGAGGCAGAGAAAACATTAACAAACCAGTATGAAAAAGCAAAGGATTACATTAGACCTGTCCTTTGTAATACTGAGTGTATATGGTATCTGTGTGTCTACTTTAACCATGCTAAAAAGTCTAAATGTGATGATGATAAGGCATTTAAAATCTGTTCACACATGAGAAGGAGTGGATCTTTGAGTGGACTCTGCTGCGATGCACCTCACTATGTCTTCAACTAGTGTAGTGTCTGCCTTGATTAAAGCCCGCTTGGTTGTAGTGCTGCCCGCCATGTTGGAAGAACTGTTCAAACGGTCCTCCTTGGTTGAAATTCTGGCCCCCTCTCCCTCCCCAGCCTCCCCCTTGTCCGCCTCCTCCTCTGCCTCCTCTTCCCCTGCCCCCACGACCTCCTCGACCCCCACCTCTCTCAGAATGCCAGCCTCCATCTTGGTGATAACTGTCATGGTAACCACCTCCTCCTCCTCCTCCTCCTCCATGGTAGCCAGGGTCCTGGAAGCCTCCTTGATTGTTACCTCCTCCATAGCCACCTCTCCCTCCTGCATCTTGATAGTGGCCCTGGTTGTAACCGCCTCTCCCTCCTCCACTTCCATCTCCCCAGCCACCCTGCACCTTTCCCCCTCTGCCGCCGCCTCCTCCTCTACCTCCCCTGTCTCCATGTCCACCTCCACTTCCTCTCTCATATCCTCCCCGACCACCTTGGCTGTAGTGATCGTAGCCCCCTCTGCCTCCGCCTCCATGCCCATAGTGTCCTCCTCCTTGCGGAGCATCCTGACGCTTCTGCCAGGAGGGCATCTCTGGGGGAGGAGGCTCAATCTCACAGGGTCGGCCTCCCCTGTCTGGCACTCGGCCCATTAGAACCTGAAAAAGGGACACATGTTAAAACACAACGGTTCAAAAGGAAGCCTGCTGTTTGTATGAGCTTCACTTTCTGTTAGTTTGACAGAACATGTTTTAAGAAAAGGGCCATAAACCATAACACTTCAATTCACCGGATGCTGGCTCTTCAGTCATCCAAGGCTTCCTTTATTGGACTGCTGAAGGAGTGCTTAGTTCTAAGAAGTAACAAACTACACTCTAAACCTTCTCTACTATATAAAACCACATACTTGTCTGACTAAATAAACAACACGTTATAATTTGGCTAAAAATATATTTAAACATTTTTAAAGCACCAAATGTATGCATGTTGCTGATAACAGTCCCAAAGGAAGGCACCATCTTTTTCAGTTTTAAGCTTAAGCTATACACTACTGCTTGGGTCTGAAAGCCACAGACAGGGTAGGGGAGTCGTAACGCATGGAGAGACAGACTAACGCGTTGTTTGTTTTGGTCTTTTCATGACATTGTTGGACATTAAGAAAAATACTGAATAACTCCAGACATATTGTGTAAAGGGGCAAAAAGTGAAATCGTTTCACCGCTAGGTTTGCTGTTGTGCACTGCCTGTAGACCAAAACAGAGTGTGTCATGAGCCACTCCTCCCTCTACTTCTGCTCTCCACCCCCCATCCCCCCTTCCCCACTCGCCTCGTCTAGCAGTTAGCGATGTCTCGGTCTCTGCTGTGTTTACCTATTCCCCTGCCTACTTCAATGATGATGGTACCTGTAATAAATGTAATATATTTGCTGAGATGGAGGCGAGGCTCAGTGACTAGAGGAGCTGGTAGAAGAGCTCCATAGCTGTAAGTTACTTCAGTAGCCGGTGGCAGCCGACTTGGCTAGTGCTAACACCGGCAACTAACACTAACATTCCTCCTCTTCTCCGTGAGTGAGAGCGATGTTTTAGCCTAGCAGGCAGCCCGTGAGCCTGGCTTGCCAGGCTGCCCGCAAGGCTACATTTTACAATGCTAATTGAAAATGTTAGCTGGGCTGCCGGGCTCACTTAACACAGCCGTAACGACTTACCCATTGCTGGGACCAAGCCGCTAGTAACTCAAGCTCCAGACATTAACCCATCCCGGTGTTTCCTCTGCAGCCTCCACTTCACCCAGCTTCACTCAGCTGCCCGATAAACCCGCTGCTTCTTCCCACATTAACCTGAATAACAAACCAGGGCTCGGTGCTCCGGTTGGATCCAAACAGAGAGCCAGGGCTAGTTGGGAAGCTAGCGGAGGCTAACTGGCTGTGCTTCCCTCCGGTCATGCTGCGGCTAACGCCATTTGTTTAAAAGACACACTGAACAGTCAAGAAAACATGGACCTTTGCACATCACTAAAAAACTGAGAAACAGGATTAAAAATAAAACTGGAATTACTGCCTCACAGTAGTGCTGCACGATTAATCTAATCGCAGTTGCAATCGAGATGTCAGGCTGTGCGATTACATAACTGCATAAAAGGCTGCGATTTGCGATTTAATGTAAATGAATGTTAACGTGTGTGCCTGTGAACATGACTACCTCTGCTGTAGTGTGTGGAGGGTGTTGACATCACGCCCACAAGCTATCCTGGTATGTGCAGCACGTATGGTCAGGTGATCACCCGGCGTGCAGCAGCGACCAACATAGACGCTGAAGAAGAGCATGAGCACGACCAAAAACAGGCTGAGTTGGTAGCGAAAAAAACGCAACGTCTATTATATGGTGACACTTTGGATTCAGGTACAACGATGTTTAACAGAAAGACGTGCTGTGTAAAACTTACAAAGTTAAAGTCGCCACATCCTACAGCAACACGACCAGTCTATATCAGCACTTGAGACAGCACAGAGAAAAGTACGAAGAATGCATGCGAGAGAAAGCCAAGCCAAGTAACGTTAAAAACAAAGACAAACTGAAAACCACCAGAGCCTCATAAAACAACAACAAAGCACAATTATGCATACATTTGTAAGTGTTACGCCATACGACTACACCTCAAAGAGACACAGGGAAATCACAGACTCCATAACACACTATATAGTAACAAATGAAAAATTGAGCAAAATTTTGCTCGGTCTCGGCCCACTTGACATGCTGCTGTGTTGTGCTATGGCCTACTCACATGCTGGAATTTGTCATTTACGTGACAACGCTTGAACGCAACACAGGCTCTGCTCCGCTGTGTGTACAGTGTCGTGCTGTGCTGTTGTGCGAGAGTCGTGTTTGACTGTGCGTAACAGCACTCTGTTTATGGTCATTTACACACTGTCCATAACAATAACTACTGTATGTCAGGTCAGTGCTCCCCTATGTAGGGGAAACACTGAATCATGCAAGAAGACTCATGATACCATTTATTTCTTATATTTTAATTCCAATTGCAAATCGCGATATTGTCCACCATAATCGCAATCGCACATTTTTATTAAATCGTGCAGTACTACCTCACAGTCGTATGCCTCCACAAACCAGTCAAGTTGCATTTAAAGTTTAAATCCATGTCTGTAAAAACAGTCAGTATGTTTCCATGCACAGTTAATTGGAGCTATGGTTATATCTCGACTTGGCCATTTAATATCCTTGTCCCAGTATACAAGCACAGGAGGAGAATCGATCAATGACTAAAGTATGTCCCTTTTTTCTGTTGACCTATTTCATCACAGATCAGCAAACAAGTCAGCTATGGTTAGCTAGCCGCAAACTGGTACCATGGTGGACAATGTAACAGCTCTGTACATTTCATCCATCCAAAACTGCACTGCTCTGGATGTAGATTTCACCATGTTGTTACTGGCTTCTTCTGTTACTCATTTAATGCTATTCGACTTCTGGGTAAAAGCCCGGAGCGGAAAGTGTGGAGCATGTGCAGCACACCTAGGCCAGTTTGGGTCCACTTGACTGTACACATGCAGGAGTAATTCAACTCCCAATCACATTATCTGGGTGTTAGGCCAACTTTGAGAAATTCCATTTAGTACGATTTCAGTCGGTCTAACGTGTTTAAATGTATTTTAAAAGTCCAATTTTAATTGGACTAACACAATAAATCAAATTTCTCTAATGTTCTGTCAACGTATTGTCACAGTGACCTTGACCTCTGACCACCAAAATCTACATGGATAATCAATGTGTCCAAGTGGCTGTTTGTTCCAAATTTGAAGACATTTTGTCAAGGCATCCTTGAGATACTGCAAGAATGGGATGGATAGATAAACAACCTAAAAACATAATGCCTTTGGCCATGGGCATCACCAGCGCAGAGGCATACAAATCAGTGTATGAATAACCTTTGACACGGCAAGAAATTGTTGTGACTACACTGTGTTTAGCCTACCTTATTAATGGCACAGGCAGTCTTTTCTCTTATCTTGCCACTGCTTGTCCGTAGGATCTTGGAGAAGTCTTGTCGAGCAGCGAGGAGGTGGGCAACAGAGATTTTACTTTGGATGCCAAGAGCAGAGCGTAGTGGCTGGTAAACTTTGGCCAACTTCTCAGAATGTGTCTGTAATAAGACATATGGACAGTGTTTGGTTTGCAGAAATGATTTGTTTTCCTTGGAGCATGAATGTTAATAATGATATGCAGTTACTTCTGTCATATTATTGTGTCATGTAATCCATTTGGGGTAAACCATTTTCATTGTATGGCACAAAAATAGAACATTCATTTATTTATTCATTCTTTTTACAGAAAATCAGGCCAACCCACAACACCAGTTAAAAAAAAACAAAACTGAGAGATGTTTCCATTACAGGCATGTAGAAGCACTGCTACTAGATTTTTCACATCATGCTTGACACATGTATTTAAACAAAAAAAAAATTTTCAGATACTGAGAGGCCCGAGAGGAGCATCAGGTGGTGTTAATGACTAGAAAGCAGTCAGAAGAGTTGGTGTGGCTGCACTCAAGTCAGAATATGGTCCAGTGCAGAGCTGCTACAATCAGTGATCGATAGAAAATAATCTGCAACTATTCTAGTTATCCATTAACCTTTGAAATTTGAAGCAGAAATGCAAACACCTGACAGTTCCAGACCGTGACAGGTCCCTGTCGTCACCTGGCCATCATATAT